CTTGACTCAGGTTTGCAGAGCGTTCTCCTGACCTGCACAGCTTCTCTCCCAAGAGGGGATGGAGGGAGCCGGAAGCCCAGAGGGAAGTCTCCCAGGGCACGTTTGCCCAAAGCAATGGCTCCTTGGGATCTAAGCCTGAATTCACATCAAAAAGGTAGCCTGGCTAACATGGCTAAACCCTGTCTCTACCATAAATACAAAAATCAGACCAGGCGCAGTGGCTTACACTTCTAATCCCAGCACTTTGGGAAGCCAAGGCGGGTGGATCACTTGAGGCCAGGAGTTCGACCCTGGCCAACTTGGCAAAACCCCATCTCTACTAAAAATACAAAAAATTATCCAGGTATGGTGGGGTGCACTGTAATCTCAGCTACTCGGGAAATTGAGGCAGGAGAATCACTTGAACCCGGGAGGCGGAGGTTGCAGTGAGCTGAAATTGCACCACTGCACTCCAGTCTTGGCAATGGGGTGAGACTCTGTCTGTAAATAGATAAATAAATAAAACACAAATACAAATACAAAACTTAGCCGGGTGTGGTGGTGCACTTCTGTGGCCCTAGCTGCCTTGGAGGCTGAGATGGGAGGATCGCTTAAGCCCAGGAGGCAGAGGTTGCAGTAAGCTGAGATTGCACCACTGCACTCCAGCCTGAGTGACAGAGTGAGGCCCGTCTCAAAAAAAAAAAAAAGGAATAACTAATGGATGAGATTTAGAGTTTGGTGAATTTTAATTGATTTCTAAAAAATAAAGGAAGAGATGTGTAGTGTGGCCAAAAGAGCCCCAAGCCGGAGTTCCTGAGGCCCCAGCCACAGGCCAAGTCATCTCCTCTTCCTCAGTCTCAGGGTCCTCTTCCGTATGAGGAGGTGATAGACTACAGACTAGGTGACTGTTGAATGCCTTTCAGTTTAAAACTCAACGATTCCATGAACGTTTCAATAGGAGCAATAAAAGTGACTACAACAGCAACTTTAGGTTACACCAGGCTCTGTGCTTCAACTCCTGATGTTTCCATCATGACCCCGGGTGAGCTCCCTCAGCCGGCTCCAGTGAGGTTCCTGCAAACCTGCAGTCACCCCATCCCTTTGGGCACATGCTGTTCTAGGTCTGCTCTTCAGCACTACCGAGATCTTTGCAGGAATGCTGGTTTTTCATTCCGGATTTCAGCGCCTGGAATGAATGGAAGTTGGGGGCCTGGTTTGAGAATCATGCTACCTGCCTGATGACATGCGATACTGAAAACGGCCAAACGCTGAACTTCCCGCAAGATCACCTGTGTCCAGCATCTAGTCCTCCCTCTCAGCTACCCCAAGAACCAGGCATCAACACCAGTCCCAAGGGTACAGCACTGTCACACCCAAAGGCTGGTAAAAACCGAAGTGCCCCAAAATAGAGAACAACTTCAACACCTCCTGATGTGTGCAGGGGAGCAGCACACAGCCGTGAATGTAGACGAGGTAGATGTAGATGTCCTGACATTGAAGGATGTTCCTTGAATAATGTTAAAGAACAAAGCAAACTACAGAAGCGTGTGTTGAGTGTGATCCCATTTTGTCTGCTGTTTACTTATAGGCATATGTAAATATGTGTTCATGTGTAAACTCATATGAGTGTAAAGAAGTATCTGGAAAAATAAGCAGTAAATCATTTACAGTGGATACCCCCGGGATACATATGGGGTGGGTTTCACTCTTTCCTTGGATTATATTGAATGGTTTAAATTTTGTCAATGAATGCCACATGATAATATTTCTTTAAAGCCTGGTATTCACAACTATCTAGTATAAAAGTACACATGGCCGGGTGCGGTGGCTCACGCCTGTAATCCCAGCACTTTGAGAGGCCAAGGCGGGTGGATCACGAGGTCAGGAGATCGAGACCATCCTGGCTAACACGGTGAAACCCTGTCTCTACCAAAAATACAAAAATTAGCCGGGCGTGGTGGCGGGCAACTGTAGCCCCAGCTACTCAGGAGGCTGAGGCAGGAGAATGTCATGAACCCAGGAGGCGGAGCTTGCAGTGAGCAGAGATCCCACCACTGCACTCCAGCCTAGGGGAGAGAGCGAAAGTTTGTCTCAAAAAAAAAAAAAAAAAAAGTACACATATTGACCAGGCACAGTGGCTCATAACTGTAATCCCAGCATTTTGGGAGGCCAAGGTGGGCAGATCGCTTGAATCCAAGAATTTGAGACCAGCCTGGGCAACATAACAAAACCCCATCTGTACAAAAACACAAAAATTATCCAACATGGTGGCACATGCCTGTAGTCCCAGCTACAGGGAAGGCTGAGGTGGGAGCACCAATTCAGCCGGGGAGGTTGAGGCTGCAGTGAGCCGTTATCGCACCACTGCACTCCAGCCTGGGCAACAGAGTGCGACTCTATCTCTAAATAAATAAATAAATAATACACGTATCTTCTGTAGCCAAAATTAGCATGCTTCATCCAGGCCCCACTATCAAAATCTCACTCTCCGAGGTCCCGCTATCTAAGGTTACTTAGGAAGTGGGACACCTCAAAACACATCTTACATTTCTAAGTCCCTCTAGGAGTGTGACAGGTACTGACCATTTTTTAAGCTATCAGACATGAGAAGCCCTTTTTTTTTCTTTTCTGAGACTTACTTTTTTGAGACAGAGTCTCACTCTGTCGCAAGGTTGGAGTAGAGTGGCACGATCTCAGCTCACTGCAACCTCCGCCTCCCGGGTTCAAGCAATTCTCCTGCCTCAGCCTCCCAAGTAGATGGGATTACAGGCACCCGCCACCAAGCCTGGCTAATTTTTGTATTTTTAGTAGAGACGGGGTTTCACCTTGTTGACCAGGCTGGGCTCCATCTCCTGACCTCAGGTGATCCACCTGCCTCGGCCTCCCAAAGTGCTGGGATTACAGGTGTGAGCACCCAGTCGACAGCCCTCTTTTTAAACGATATCCCTGGTCCTCAAAGGCAGTTAAAGCTGTGAGCCACCTATAATAGCTGTAAATTAAAGCTTGAATAAGATTTCACCTGGGTGTGTTTCTAAAGTAAGAATCCTTAGGAATGTATTATTAAGAGGGGCCAGCGGCAACAGCAATGGAGTCATCGCCTTCCTTAACATGTCTGCTTAATATTCAAAAATAAATGTGATCATACAACTCCTTTACATGAATGATCTCCTCCAATCCATACTGTGGGACCAACGCCAGACAGCCTCCCAGTAAGAAGAGGAATCTAGATTGCAGGATGGGGGGCGGAGAAGAGATTTTAAAAATGGAGACATGCATTCCAAACCAAAGTAGTGGGATTATATTTGTTCAGGTCAGCTCTGAGCATCGTGTGTCTTTTGTTTTGAGATGAAGTCTCACTCTTGTCGTCCAGGCTGGTGTGCAATAGTGCGATCTTGGCTCACTGCAACCTCTGCCTCCAGGGTTCAAGCAATTCTCCTTCCTCAGCCTCCCGAGTAGCTGAGGAAGCACACCACCACACCCAGCTAATTTTTGTATTTTTAATAGAGACGGGGTTTCACCATGTTGGTCAGGCTGGTCTTGAACTCCTGACCTCAGGCAATCCACCCGCCTTGGCCTCCCAAAGTGCTGGGATTACAGACGTGAGCCACCGCGCCCGGTCCATCATGTGTCATTTTTATAGCGTACGTAAGTGCAGGAAATGTTAGGAAGGTGTATGGACAATCTGAAAACCCAGTTACCTTTTAGTTAAAAGTGTGGATCAGTTAGCTAGAAAACACCTGTGCACGGCTGGGCACGGTGCCTCATGCCTGTAATCCCAGCACTTTGGGAGGCCGAGGCAGGCGGATCACCTGAGGTCGGGAGTTCGAGACCAGCCTGACCAACATGGAGAAACCCCGTCTCTACTAAAAAAAATTACAAAATTAGCTGGGCGTGGTGGCACATGCCTGTAATCCCAGCTACTCGGGAGACTGAGGCAGGAGAATCGCTTGAACCCGGGAGGCAGTGGTTCTGGTGAGCCAAGATCGCACCATTGCACTCCAGCCTGGGCAACAAGAGCAAAATTCCGTCTCAAAAAAAAAAAAAAAAAAGAAAAAGAAAAGAAAAGAAAGAAAGGAAAGAAAAAGAAAATACCTGTGCACACCAACACAAACGAAAGGATGTTGTGTGACTTACAAAAACCTCACAAGAAGGGGTCCTTTGAGTCTCCCCTCGCCTTGACCCCTTGCTACTCACAATGAGATCAGCAGACACACAGTATCTTACGGGCAGCATCCACCACAGGAGGACTTCTCAGAAATGCCGAATCTCAGGACCCGTCCCAGAGCGACGGAAAGAGGGCACACGTCTTACCAAGATCCCCAATGATTCCGGTGCCCAGTGACGTTCGAGATGCACCCCACAGAGCATTCGAAACCATTCTACAAACAACTTTTGAGCTTTCCACTAATTGGGTGGGGGCTGCACACACCGTCATTGCAAATGGATAAGGGTTTTGGAGCCCTGGGTGTTTCCTCTTTCTGGCACAACATGGCAACGGTCCCAGCAAGGGGCAGCCCAGGGGAGCTCCTTTGCACACCAGGTCTGCTGCTCCTAAAGGCTCTGGACACACAGGAGACCTCCCAGCCTGCCTGGGAGGGGGACACTCGCTCCTAACAAGTCTCGTTTCGGGTCAGAGATACTGGATTAGAAACCTGACTTGGGTGCCTAATTGCAGAAAAAGTGAAGGAGGACAGAGAAGAGAAGGGGAAGGAAGGCACCTGAGCCAGCACTTTCCTGTCTGAGGCCAGGGCGGGTATGACGGGTAGGCCAGGTGCCGGCTGAGAGGGGCACGAGGATGGAATCCGGCGTGCACCTGCGAGACGGACCCCCCAGGTGGCCCCTCCAAGGTCAAGGGAGGGGGTGAGAACTTGAGTGAGGCTGAGCCAGCTTCTGGAGAGAGGCGCCCGGACATCAGACGGACAGACAGAGGCTGACGCAGGAGGACCAGAGGGCCCAGCGCCGGACAGGCTCCCCGGGCGGACAGACAGACAGACAGAAGGGCCCCGCCCGAGGCGACTCACAGGTGCGCGATGCCGGCCTTGCGCACCGCGGAGGAGATGGCTTTGACGGCCGTGCAGAGCGAGTTGAGCAGCTGGGTGAGCTCACCCGTGCCGCGGGCCTTCCTGCCCTCCTCCATGACGAAGCGGGTCAGGGTGTTGACGTCCGTGTCGAAGGGCGCCTGGTCAGCCATGCTGGGGCCGGGCCGCGGGGCTGCAGGTGCGGGGGCAGGTGCGGCGGCAGGTGCGGGGGGCAGGTGCGGCGGCAGGTGCGGGGGCAGGTGCGGGCGGCAGGTGCGGGGGCAGGTGCGGCGGCAGGTGCGGGCGGCAGGTGCGGTGGCAGGTGCGGGGCGGGACCTGGCGGGAGGACGGACAGACGACTGCGGCCCCGAGTGTCCGCGGCGCTCGCGGTGAGACTGGGCCAGGCCTGGCGCGGGCGGGTGAACCGGGAACCTTTAGCCGCGGGTCGGTCCCGCCCCCGCCCCCGGGAACACCCCGCGCCGCCTCCCGCCGCCCAGCCCGCGGCTCCGCCCGCCGGATCTTCGGACCCTCCCCGCGGCCGCCCCCGCAGCCTCCGCGCCCTCCGTCCGCGCTGCGGGGCGGGGCTCGGGCCGTCGGACCCGCCGGAGAGAAAAGCTGTTTCTTTGCAGGAGTTTCCTCCACAATCATGACACGGAAGTTCACAGAGGTTGAGTAACTTGCTCCGCGCCCCAGCTGGGCAGCGAAACCCGCAGCAGCCCCCGCTCCGCAGACCCGCCCGCGCGGCCTCCTGCCCGGCCCCTGCCCAGGCCTGTCCACCTGCCCGTCCTGTCACTGGCCCCCCTGTCCACCTGCCCGTCCTGTCACTGCCCCCCTGTCCACCTGCCCGTCCTGTCACTGGCCCCCCTGTCCACCTGCCCGTGCTGTCACTGCCCCCCGTCCACCTGCCCGTCCTGTCGCTGGCCCCTCCGTCCCCGCTGGGACACACGGGTTCCCCGTTTCTCACCCATCTGAGGCCCACGACGGAATCCTGAATCCAGGCCTCTTCTCAGGATTCCTGATTCCTGGAATTCAAGAGCTACTGAGGATCTGAGTTTCCAAGATGTGAACGGTCGGTCGCTGACAGAGTCCGCGGCTACCACGCAAAGGCCGGAGGCTCCCCCGCCGCATCCTGAGCCCCTGGGAGCCACGACGCTGCAACTCACGTGCTGATTCACGGAACAACATCTACTGAACACCCGCTGTGCTGAACACCGCCCCACCTTCCAGGGGTGCAACGTGATCAACAGACAAAACTCCTGGCTGCTTCGAGTGTACGTTTTCACAGAGAAGCAGCAAAAATAAATACACAAACAATAGGTTAGTTTGTTACACGAGCCATAAGTCCCGTAGAGAAGAACGAAATAGAAAAGGAAGACAGGGAATGTGGAGGGGAGAAGAGGGTGAGCGGAGGCCTCAGTAGAAGCTTCTCTGAGAAAGGGACATGTGAGCAAAGAGGTGAAGGATGCGACACGGTGGAGATGGGGAGGAGAGCGTTTTCCTCCCCATCCTACGCACAGGCCCTGGGGTAGGAGAGTATGTGTCAGGTTCAGGGAATGGCCAGGAGACGGTGGAGCTGAAACAGAGCTAGCAAGGGGCCCAGGTGGAGGAGATAAGGTCCAGCTGGAGGATGCAGGGGTGAGGTCTGGAGGCCAAGTAAGGTTTGACTTTGACCAGGAGTAACCCACTGGAGAGTTTGGAGGAGAAGAGAGGCGTCGTCTACCCTGTGTCTTCATACTCCAGCTACTGTGTCAAGATCGGATTAAAGACAGTGCCCGCCAGGTTACTAGGAGATAGTGAGCCAGGTGTTAGCAGTGGAGGTGGTGGATTCTGGACATATGTTGAAGGTAGAGCTGATGGGATTTGTTGACAGATGAGATATGTGAGAGACAGGAGTTTGGGATGATTCTAAGGTTTGAGGCCTGAGAAACTAGAAGAATGCAGTTGTCCTCAACTGCGATGGGGAACACCAAAAGGGGCGTGTGCTGGAGGCAGGACTGACAATTAGGAGCTAAGTGTGGGACCTGCTAAGTTCGAAATGCCTTCTAGACATTCAAGGCAATGTCCAGTAGACAGATTTATGCATCCGGAGTTCAGAGGAGAGATCCATGCTGCAGATATAAATTGGAAAAGCCAACTGGAAAAAACAACCAAAAACCAAGAGATGGCGACGTCCAGGAAGCCAGATGAAGACGGTTCGTCACGCCGGGCTGACCCACCTGCCAGGCGGTGCGGATGGGGCAGGCAGGACAAGGTCTGAAAGTTGACTGCTGGATTAATCGTGGAGACGAGTGCAGACTCCTGTGCCCAGGGTTGTCAGATGCGGCAGCGCGGATGAGGAAGGTGGTGGAACCCCCAGGAAAGACAGCGACTGTCTCCTCAAAGCCCCAGAGGGGACTCAGATGCCTGGCAGAGAGAGCTGATCCTTTAACGGTCTTATTTAACTCTTTGTTCCTCAGGCAACTTTTCAGGAAACACCCTATGTTAAAAAAAAAAAACAAAACAAAAGAAAAGTGTAATGACTAGTATTTTTGGTGTAGTAAGTAGTTTACTGGGGGAGAGCTAGAGCCAGTAACAGGGGAGTGTGCCCCTTTACCTGTCAGACAGTCCCTCAGGATCTTGGATTGACTAGGACCGCAAAAGTCATCTAGTCCAGCCAACCCTCACTGATTGGACACCATCCCTGATAAGAGGTGAAGAGCTTGGGATCTGCATTAAGCAAACTTGTTTGAGTCCCAGCTCCAGCCCTCAGCAGCCAGAGATCTCGGGCCAGCTACCCAATCTCTCTAAACCCAGTTTGTTCATCCATATAGTGGAATGATGGTTCCATCTGGCATTGTGTCATCGGGCTGAAATGAGATGGCACTGGCAGAGTGCTCAGCTCAGAGCTCCACACAGAGGACACACTGAATATGTGGAGGAGATCGCTGTCTAGCTCAGTCACTTCTGCCTGTCGCCCATGATGATGGGCAGCTCATCACCTACAAGGCAAGCCATTCCCCTTGGGACTAGGCCACGTCGCATGGCGGTGAAGTGCATAGACTCTGGGGCTGCATGACCTGGGTCCAAATCCTCGCCTGGCCACTTACTGGCTGTGCAATTCCTAAACCCCGCCAAGCGACCATTGGCTCGTCTGTAAACTGGGGCTAATGATCGTAGCCACCTCGTAGGGTGCTGGGAGAATTACACAGGCAGTGCTGGTCGTGTTTAAGAACAGTGCTCAGCATGGAGTAAGCACACCGTATGCAAGTGCTTGCTTCGTTACATGCGTAGGGCCAACTGTTGTTTTCGTGTTAACAGAAGCAAGAAAGTTCCCTGCTCATCAAAAGGGGCTGGAGGGATGTGGGAACTGGCAACTGAGCCTGTATTTGCCTGGTGTGCGATGATATCCCCTCCATCATATTGGTCGCTTGTGACTCGCTCTTTTCTGGCTCAGATGCATAAAGCCCATCACCCAGGTGTTAGCCAGAGACAGAGGAAGGTGCGGGGTGGGAGGAAGGCGGCCGCCTTGCATGGGTTCCTGGCCTGTGAGATTGGCCCCTCCTCCTCCACCCACCACCCTCGAAGCGTTGCTTCTTGCCACACACTCCAACTTCACACGGTACTGCAGATTCAAGTGATGTGAGCAATATTACCACGTGTGTAACACTGGAAATGCTGTGGAGAATCAGTGCTCATGCATTTCCTCACCTGGCTCCCACAATGGGGTTATGTTGGAGGCGGGCAGTGGAGAAGCAACAGTCTGGCCAGTCCCTGCCCCTACGCCAGCCGCCCTCAACCCAGGGCTCTGCTGCTTACTTTTCCCTCTGTGGGGGCGGTTAGTGCCACAGGAAAGAAAAACAGGCCGGACACAGGGCACATGCCTGTAATCCCAGTGCTCTGGGTGGCTGAGGCAGAGGGACCACCTGAGCCCAGGAATTTTAAAAGCAGACTGGACAACATAAGGAAAACACTGTCTCAAAAAAATTTAAAAATTACCCAGGGGTGGTGGCGCATGCCTGTAGTCTCAGCTACTGGAGAGGCTGAGGGAGGAGGATCACTTGAGCCCAGGAGGTCGAGGCTGCAGTAAGCCACTGAGCCGTGATCACAGCACTGCACACCAGCCTAGGCAATAGAGTGAGACTGTGTCTCTAACACAAAAGAAAAAGAAAAACAAAAGCCAAGTGGTGCGTGTGAGGGGGACTGCAGCAGCATGGTCCTTCCGTAAGCACCTCCCCCAGCTCCTGTGGCCTCGGCGGCCTGGTGCAGAAACTGAATAGCACACGTCTATTTAGCACTTGGTCAGGGTGTGGCACTTGTCCAGGGCTTCAGAAGCAGCCTTCAGTCAACCCAGAATCACTCTGGGGTGGCTTCTAATCAAACCCCTGTCTTTACAGGTGAAGGGACTGAGGCTTTTCTTTTTCTTTCTTTCTTTCTTTCTTTTTTTTTTTTTTTTTTTTGAGATAGCATGTCACTCTGTCATCCAGGCTGGAGTGCAGTGGCACAATCTCGACTCACTGCAACCTCCGCCTCCCGGGTTCACACCATTTTCCTGCCTCAGCCTCCCGAGTAGCTGGGACTACAGGCGCCGCCACCACGCCCGGCTAATTTTTGTTTTTTTGTTTTTTGGGGTTTTTTTTTTGTTGTTGTTTGTTTGTTTTGAGACAGAGTCTTGCTCTGTCCGCCCAGGCTGGAGGGAGTGCAATGGTGCAATCTCAGCTCACTGCAAGCTCCGCCTCCCGGGTTCAAGCGATTCTCCTGCCTCAGCCTCCCGAGTAGCTGGAAGTACAGGTGCCGCCACCACACCTGGCTAATGTTTGTATTTTTAGTAGAGACGGGTTTTCACCGTGTTAGCCAGGATGGTCTCGATCTCCTGACCTCATGATCCGCCCGCCTCAGCCTCCCAAAGTGCTGGGATTACAGGCATGAGCCACCGCAGCTGGCCCAATTTTTTTATTTTTGGTAGAGATGGGGTTTCACCATGTTGGTCAGGCTGGTCTCTAACTCCCGACCTCAGGTGATGCACCCGCCTCGGCCTCCCACAGTGCTGGGATTACAGATGTGAGCCACCGTGCCCGCCTCGGCCTCCCGAAGTGCGGGGATCACAGACAGGAGCCGCCGTGCCAGGTCAACAAGGTCAAATAACTTGTCCAAGGCCTGCAGCCAGGCAGGAGGTGACAGAACCAAGACTCAAACCTTCATCTGTCTGATGCCAAACCCCATTTTCCCACTGACTTCCTGGTTCTCTCCTAAGTGGCAGTTTCCCACCACGTCGCGCCTCCAGGGACGGGCGAGGCTCTGAGCCCGCCTACGGCAGCTCTCTGGACTTTAGAGCTGTTTCTGGGCTCATGTTCATTAATTATTTCACTCGACAAATAGTTTTTGAACACCTGCTATACGCCAAAACCATACCACACCCTGAGGTTGCAGTGGTGAACAGGACAGACACAGCTCAGTCCACTTGAGGTTTATATGCTTTGTGGGGGAGATAAGAAACAAAATCATTTAACCAACAAAGACACAAAACTGTTTCAGGGAGGAGAGTGC